GGGAAATATGAAAGCAGTTGAATGATTATACATTTTGTCTGGAGGGAATTATGGGGGGAAATATGAAAAGGCAAACCGAGTCAAGTGAACAATTAGTAAATAAGTATATGAATCAATAAATGTAGGTAAAAAAATACAAATATGTATGTAGCACGGGCGTTAACGGGTTCTAATAATTTTGGGCGACAAAAGACATCAGGTCAAAGGCCCTCGGGCATTTTGTCGCCGCTCGATCATTAGAGCCTTTATAACCCCCTTGGTGCATAAATAAACACAAGTGCGTGATGATTATGTTGTTCTGCGTAAATATAGCTTACAATCTTGTCAGGTAGAAACACAAAATTTGTAGTCATTGCCCAAGTCACTTAGAAAATTGTTTTGATTGACCCATGTCGTGCAGTTTTCACAATGCCCTCGTAAGACCACAACTTACTCTCTCACTTTCCGAAATACACTGATTTTACATCAGGCGACCGAACCCAGTACGTCTTATATTGACGACTTTTCATTACCTTTTGGTTGAATAAATAGATTTGAGGCGTTGTTTTGTCGTAGTTGCTTATTTTGGCAGAACGCTTTTTTCGGTCGAATTGCGGCCATCTTCAGTGCTACGAAAAATAAAAACATATCTTATTAACAAATAAAATGTTTGTCTATTACAGAATATTATTATGAATTGAATAATTATTAATAATGCTGTTATGCATAACAAATACCGTTACAAAACTTATGATAATGCTGTATACAAATTATAATACAAAAAAGCGTTTGCAACTCGTTTATAATGTTGTTTTAGAGCATTTGAACAAATTTGAAAACTTGCCATAACGTTCGTTTTTAAAACATGTACTGACGCAATAAAGCTTAACGTCGTAAACGAATTGCACAAACCACTGTCAGCACATGCCTCCGTTTTGCGCCCCGCTAATGTGTGCGAGCTTCCCGCAGGCGGAGTTCGTGTCGCACCTGTCAGCGCGCCACCCGTCGACGCGCGAGCGCCACCACTGCCTGCTGTGCGCGCGCTCCTTCCCGTCGGGCGAGCGCCACGCGCTGCACGTGCGCGGCCGCCTGCACCGCGCGCTCGAGGGCCTGCAGCGCCGCACCGTGCACGCGCTCTTCTCGCTGCTGACGGGCCGCGCCTGCCCGGGCATCGCCCCGCTCAGCACGCACGAGCGCGCCGCGCTTCGCTGGCTGCCGGCCGAGCCCGGCGCCGTGCACTTCTACCACCAGGCCACGCCGCTGCAGATGGCCATTCAGGTGGGTGCAGACGCGCCAGAGCATTCAATGACAAGGGGTGGTCGCACGTCCCGGATTAATCGGGACACTCCCTTATTAGCAGTCCCCGTCCCGATTTTTTTTTTTTAACTGGAAAGCGAGTCGTTAAAATGTCTCTTTTTGTGGCAATGGCTTCTCAGCGTAGAATGCCGTCGTAAATATTGAATTTATCAGAAGTAATACCACGAGAAGTGCTATGATAGCCGGTAAATTCACGGGAATTTATCTGCTCTCACAGAACTTCGAGTGGTATTTAGTGTGACTATAACACGATACAGTAATTAAATGAATAAAAATCCCAGAAATTGGTAAAAACAAAAATATTACTCAAAATTGCTACCGAAATGTCTGAAACATTCATTGATCTCCATGTTACCACTGCCTCCTGGAGTACCTTGTTATCAAGTAAAATATTAAAAACAGTTTACTGCACAAAATGATTTCAACTATATTTCGATTTCATGGTATTAAAACTTTCCAAAAACAATTATAACAAAACCACTTACAAGAACATTTATTAAAAACACAGTTATTAAAGTTGTAAGTTCTGAGTTTTCCATGTTTTGGTATTCCGTGGAAGTCTGAAATGGAAGATATACAAGATGAATTAGCAGCGGGATTCGTAAATTTGAAATAAATTGAACACACCTGTGTACTCATTTAAATATTTATCTGAATAATTTTGGTTGTAACGTTTTGATAGCATGTTCTTTGTACTCTTTTTCGCATATTAATTGCCTAAAATAAGTCTCATTTCTTCATTTGTAGTTTGTGCTGTCCATTTGTACTTTCTTTCTTTACAAAATTCTTGAAATGGCTTCCACACACTTTCTCTTTTTCTTTTGCTGTTTTTCGTCTCTGCCTCTTTAATAATATGTTTAGAAGATTTAAAAATTATCAAAACGACACATATTTTAATATATTGATGCTCATACGCTATTATGGACCTCAAACAATTGCTATCGATAACATCAAAAAGGTAAACAAAGTGATTACAGCGAAGAAGAAAAGGTAAACAAAATGAATGATTTATGGCAATAAACATCTGGGATTGGTTTAATTTGAATATATTTTTGCTCACGTGCCACGTAACAAGAGGGTTTAGAGACAGGGTTGTGGTTTCTAGGAAGAGAAAATGCAACTATGGCGTCATTTCAACCTGTTATCGTTAACGATATCGTTATGGAGAAATTCAGTAAACCGATCCTTGGACTTCTGAGAGTTTCTGTACAACTTAGTATGCAATCGTAATTCAGAAATACTGACCTACTTCGAAATGAATGAATATGCAAATTAAACAAATGTGTACTTTTTACTTTCTCGCACTTACTAACTTAAGAAGATAAAGTATTGTAATCGTTTGCCGGAAAACTGCAAATTTTCGACATAAATCGAGTTGCTAAATATAAAAATAGTTGCTAAATATCCTTTTGCACTGCAATAATCACTCATATTTTCAAATTTAAATATAGTAGCTTCTGACGTTCGATCAACTCGGACGCGGTTATCCGATCGGTAGTTTCAGTACAATTTTATATCGAACAAGTTGGCCACTCTGCCCGAAGAGACTCTTTCCCAAGTGTAAAACAAATCCGTACATTGGCAGGTTTAAAGAAGGGAACAAATTATTTACAAAAATAAAATATTATATTATGTAAAGGTGTGGTGCCCCTTTTAAAACTTTAGGACTATGGTTGCCACCTTGCCAATTTCAGAATACCGGAGACCGCTGCGACCGGGGGGGGGGGGTTAATTACTGAAATCTAAAAAGAAATTGACGCAGACTTTTATTTATTTCTTTAAAATATATTTATGTATCTTTGGTTTCTAGTGATCTATAAATAATTAACATTTATTCAAAATATTCGTTTTTAACATTTATTTCAAATTGTTATTGTATGTCTAAATAATCAGCCTTTGATACGATATGTGTATACGTGTACATATACACACACACACTCACACTCACACACACTCACACACACACACAGATATATTATAAACGTCTTGTAAAAGAAAAGGTCTTGTGAAAGAAGTGATAATTAGTGTAAGTAAATATTTATTTGATTCAACTCTAAAAAATCTTGTTTTATATTGTGACAATTAAAAATTAAAATTTTTCAATTACAAAAACCCTGTTGTAATTCAATGTAAGTTTGTATACAAATATGTAAATATTGTTGATTTGATATATATTGGAATAGTTTTATTTATTTTTTATTTATTTTTATTTGAAGTCACTTAAACTACACGGGTTATGAGTAACTAATACATTAATAAAATTAAGTTACAACTCTGATAAAAAGTCATTATTTTTTGCAAAATTGTATCACTTTTTTCTTGGTATCTTGGTGATGACAAAATTGCATTGAAATTTTAATTTTCTGGGCACTTTTTTCTCTCTATTGTGGATGGGGCATTTGAGAATGATGTGCATTATTGAAAAAAAATATTAATGTAGATAGTACAAGTAGGTTAAGGAACTTTTTCAATTAAAAATTTATGAGAGAACTAAGAATGATTTGACTGAATTCTTGACAGAGCAACATGTTTTTGATGGATTGAAGGATTTGTTATAAGTCCAAAAAATGTTAGTTATGTTTTTATGAGTTTTGCTGCTTTTCATTTAGTCATGATTTGTGCCATTCTATATTTAATTTGTTCCTAATGTATCCAAATATCCTAATGTTCAAAATATCTTGTACTCTGTTTCGGATGGATGGTTTTGGTATGCATTTGTTGCAGCTCTCTTAGCTTCGGGATCTACGATATCATTACCAAATATATCTCTGTGTTGGTATCCAAGCAATAATGATATTTTTCCCCAAATTAGATTCATTAAAATATATTTCATGAATATGATTTAATAATTCAGATATATTAATGTTTTTGTTGATGTTTTTCAAAGCATAGAATGAATTAGTAAACATGATTTTTTTATATTAATGGAATTATTATAATATATGGAATTATTATAATATAATGGAATTATTATATTTGTTTCATGGCTATGAATGTGGCATATAATTCTGCTGTTTCAACTGATATTAAAGCATGCAGAATATAATTTAGACTAATACTACAATAATATATGGCAACCCCAACACCATTATTATTTTTTGCACCATCTGTGTAAATATGTTAATAATCTATATACTTTTGTCTCATTTCTTCAAATTTTTCTCACCTCTCACTATATGATAAACTGTTGTTTTTTTAAGTTCACAAAGGATTACTTTAGTCTTAATATTGGATGTAATCCATGGTAGAATACAGGTGTATTTCTCTCTTTCCATCTTTGGCGGTATAAAACTTAATTCTTCCATACATTTCTTCTTCTTTGTACACATAGGTAAGTCCAGTTCACAGATTATCGTGATTTGTATTTGAAAATTTGGAAAACATATTGTTTCGTATCATTGGATTTCTTGAAGTAGAGGTTTTGATGTCGTATTTTAGTAGAAGAGATTTTCTATGGAGAGTGAGAGATTGTTCTTGAACTTTGATGAAGATATTTCCTATAGGAGAAGTGTGGAAACATCCAGTAATAATTCATAGAGCTTGATTGTTGTAACTGGAAGAGTTGTTTGTAACTATGAGGGAAATATTGTTTGTTTAAGCAGCGTAGTGTGTGAAAACAAATATTCTACTATCATTCTTGAATTGGAGAAAAACTTCTCATAATGTTGTAGAGTTTACTCATTGTTGTTCAATGCTTTCTTCAGGACTGGACAAGACGGCAACAGACTGATGCTGCATCAGGCCCCCCTGTGCCTTTGGGAGAGACGGAGGCTTTATAGTTTCAGAAAAGGGCCCTGACTGCATGATTTTTGCGATAAGTATTATATAGAACATTCCTGCTGATGATAATGTGTAATGGAATTGGTAGTGAACGTGCTCAATTCTAGGGACCAAAAACTGTGTGGAAGCTACATCATACTATAGTTTCCTATATCATGTTTCCAAGAAAGGCTTATTTTTTATAAAGAATGTATTGGCCTTCATGATTAGCCACTTTCTTGCTAGAAAAACATATCCATTCCCTCTGTGTTTCAAATGCAGCAACATTGTTTGCTGCTAAGAGAGATGATTGCAAGATGAAATGCATTTAAATTGTGAAAATACATTTGAATAACAAATGTACATTTATAGCACTAATATTATGTAGTGTGTTCACAACACATGACTGTCTGTTTTGATGAAAAAGAGAGAATTAGTAAGACATTACTTTATTTCAAGAGTCAAGATATTATATTCTCTTTGGCAATATCCTTCTATGAATTAGAAAGTATGTACTTTTTACTTTTCTTTAAAAGATAATGAACCAGTCATGTTTTTTTAAATTTAATTTTCCTTGATTACACCCTTCAGTTTAGTTCTTATGTAAATAACTTTTGAGCACTGTTTGATTCTCTGTTGAGATTACATTGTCATTTTTAAATTTCATTGTATTTGTAACAGTCTTTTGAATTTTGCATGTGGTGTAATTAGAAAATAAGTGGCAGTTAATATTCAAAATGTCCTTGAATATTTTTAAGAGTGAGTATATTCTGTTTTCCTATCATTTGCTTTTGTTCAATTACATATCAAATATTGCCAAATGTTTGCAGTCATGGGGTTGTATACACATGGGTATTAAATGATAACATAATATGATAAATACTTGTCGTGTTGTCTAATTCAGTGTTTAATTGACTGATGGAAAAGGAATGTGTGTGCAGATATCTGATAAATGTGATTCATATATTATATGTTATAAATATTATGCACATTCCCTACATAGAACATAGTACATTTGTTTTTTCTATAAAAAATGTATATTTTATATTAATATAAGAAATCAAAACCCCAGTGATATGAAATTTTTAAAGAAATTATCAAAATATTGTTTTACACTTCTACAAATATTGAAATAATGAACACATATATTTGTAATATGCTCATATATAGTCATTGTTGCTGTAGCATTTACCTAGTCTTGTTAGGCAATACACAGTCCCCACGGTAAGTTAGTATTGTATGTTTTCCTTCCTCCAATAGTAAACCAAAGTTTGTTTCATCTGGTCTCCTTTGCACGAATCGGTGGTGGCCTTACATGGTGCCTTGGTGTTTTGGGTGATATCACACATTCTCTAAGGAAGATCTGGTGTGAGGAAGTGTTGTTATAAGAGTCATAGTTTTAAGGCACAGAATTTGTGCAATACTAGTTCAGTGTGAAAGAACGGTACCTACAGTTGAACTTTTCATTTGCTTACAATCAAATAATTTTATATAAGATTTTTATGGCAGATTGACAGTGATTTGATTTCAATATTTGACAATGCACTCCCAGTGAATCCTAGTCAGAATTGTTGATGTGTTGAAACATATTCTTTATTATACAGTTTATGTATTTCTTAAAGAATTAGGTTGACAGTTTTATACAAAAGTGCAATTTCTAATGCTAATTTTAGAAGTGTGTTTCCCTACATATCCTACATATCTGATGGTTTTCTTGACATATTTTTTGTGAAAATCTAGATTTTCAGTTTGGAAAGAAAATGTGACATAGAGATGTTTAGATTATACTAAATGTTACTGCATCGAAATTGTATGTTCTTAAATGTTAGATTTGCTTTTTTATGCCACTTCCAGAACAATTCTGAATATTTGAAAGAAATATAATTATATTTCAAGTTATCAATACCAAATAATTACACAAGATTAAAACTTTGTTTTTCATAATATTATTATCTGTATTATGTTTTTAGTTGATGAGTTTGATATTCTCCAAGAAACATGTTGAAACATTTATTTTACTTATTGAAGATTTAACGTATGGAAAGTTTGTATTAGAGATAATATGTTACATATGCTGTTGCATTTTTAATATGAAAGAACCCATTTTTATGCTGTATGTACAACTTGTTCTAATTAATTACAAGGATTTATATTCCCTTTACCTGATGTAATAGTATTTATTTTCCATGTTTGCAAATTTAAAAAATAAAGGCTTAATAGTGCCTCTGTGCCTCTTTTTATTTGCAACTAATACAGGATTTTTCAAACTATTGTCTAAAATTTGGTTTGATTCCAAAAGAAAGATCTCAGACTTTGGTCTACATATTGCTAAGTTTCTAAAAATTAGGCATTCATTTTCTTTCTTTCGTTTGTAGGTTAACCTATCAGTTTAATTTTATTAGTGTGTTCCTGAAAAATGTTTTAGTATAATTATCATCCGGTATGAAAACAAATTTTAATAACATTTCAGTTTTATTATTTTCACTATTACTAATGAATTCATAGGGTTTTTGTCTATTTATTTTGGTTTCTAGAAGTAGTTCACAATGAGAAAAGGGTTGGGAACTGTTGTTATAGATTAACGTACTGTTGCATTGTGAAAGAAGTGTACAAAGACATAAAGACTATAACTTCTGCTATTCTAAAATAGTATAAATGAAAAGTTCTTCTGTATGTTTGTGTGATTTAAAATGTGAATATTTGTGCTGTGTTGACTGAATTTTTGATTTTTATTCTTTGTGATGTGGTTACATGGTTGTTACATTTGAAACACAATTTTAGGAAGGCATTATGATCTTCATTTGTGACATAGTGAAGTTCCTACAATTATAAGTGAAGAATAAACTGGGCATTGTCTTGTTATAAATTTTGAGAATATGTCAGATGTTTGACTGAGAAGTACAAATCTTCAAATTCTGTCATCTTTACCAGTAACGTAACCATAGCTTTTGTGGCAAATTTTTCCATTAGAGAATTGCTAGAAATAAGACAATCAGGGCAAGTGTATGGACAAATGTGATTCTCACTAAGATCTGTTCTCTCTCAAGAGATTTATTTATTACAGAGAGAGCAATCTTATTTCTTCAGAAACATATGATTTTAAACCACAAAATAGCTTGTGGACATTTTAAAGAAAATAAATGGGAAATAGACACATCATATATGTGTTTAATATTCAATAAAATCATGTGCATGTATGCTACTTTGTACATTTCAGCTGTGTGCGTGGGTTTTATGTAACCTTGTGTAGCATTGTTTATGGATACAATTTGTGCAGACCTTGTCTGTATGTCTACTTTGCTGTGTGTACCTCTGTTTTTTAAAAGTGTTTGAGGGATGCTATTCAAATTTGTTTATTCAGTGTATCAAGTGGCTATATCAAAGAGCATGAGTATGTATAGTATCCCTCAATTGTCATTTTATAAACTTCTACATACTGGTGTGTGATCAGCTTATATGTTTGTCATAACATATCGGACAAACAGGGTCCATGCCTTATATCCTGTAATTATGCAGTATAACCTCCATTATTGGTTTCAGGAGTGTTGCCCTGTGATATAAAATATTACATGATGTTAATATTATACATGTTAACATTGCTGGATTTGATGTTGCATGATATGAAGAGCAAACATTCTTGTACATTTAGAAACTGCAATAATTACTAAAAAGTCATGAAAGAAGTGTATACTAACCTTCTTAAGTAAATCATTTTTCTATTTTTTAAATATTTTATTTTATTTTTTGGAAGTTGATATTAAGGTTTATGAAGTACATTTCTGAACGATCTTCTTTTTCTATGACTTTCGACCAATCTCATATCAGTTAAAATTCAGATATTTCTGTTTGCCTTGTCCTTGATCATATTAAATTATTGTGTTTTGGATACCTGTTCTTATGAGTCAAAACAGCCAGAATCATTGAAATTTTAAAATAGAAACAAATTCATTAAACTTTCATTATTGTGATGGTGCAATTTATGTAGTATCTCTGCATTTTATTTGTAAACAGCTTAGTGTTAACTTATTCATGTTTTTTATTCACTTGATCTCTGATCAGATTGTCTCTAAACGATGAATTATTTACAAAAATCTGTGGTTTGATGGTATAGTAAAATCTCAATACAATGGACTTCAGTTTCAAGTATTTTTCAGTTTTACATACATATTTCAAATTCTCACTGAATTTTGCCATTTTATATTGCAAAGATACATTTTTGCAAAGGACATATGCAGACCACTATTTGTGGTTGTCACTAAATTTTGGTAGTACAAGTGCTGGTGCTGTGAACTAGCAAGAGAAAATTTGCAAAAATTCATATATTGTAAACATACAATGCTGTTATATTAGGAAAACTAATTGAACTGAAATCGTGAATATTTTATTGATAATGTCTTCTATATGAACATTTTTTCTTACATTGAATTCATTATTTTATTTTTTTCACATGATTTTAGAACAACCACTTAATGAAGTGTTGTTTCTGTGCATCCTTCAATAAGAAAACTCTAAATAAGCTTTTCTAATTTAATTTTTCATCAAGGAATCACTCTGAATCTCTTTTATGTTATTCCAGATGCTGTCTTTTGTATTATTTCATTTCCTATTTATATTAACCAGTGAGTTATATGATGACATTTATGAAAGAATAATAGTACCAAATATTGCAAAAGTGTATGCTCATCATATCACTTGTGACACATACTAGTTAATTTTGCACTTGTGTGATAATTATTTTCTAATGTTACAAATATCTGCATCATGTTTAACTTTATTATTATACTCATTATTTGTACATAAATGGTAGAAGTTTCTTGTTATTAAGTTTTTTATTCAATTTGTAAATTTACTAGAGAAGTATTTTATGCAAGTGTTATCAGATCCATTGAATACATGTATTAGTTGAATTTTTAATTGATTAATGATGAAAAATAAGATATATACTTGATTTATTCATATTCTTGTACTTAATGACTGTGTAAAACGGTATGTGTGCCATGTTTGAACTGTTTGATGACGTATGTATTTTGTGCCTGTTTACATGTACTTACAGAACTGTTACCAAGATAGCCAAATGTTAAGTTAGGTTATAATATACAGTTAATTCATATTAAGCACCAGCATCAATTTTTCTATTTGCAATATTGTTGGTTAAGTGCAAATTGCACTTAGTGTTGTTGGCAGAATGAAATAATTTACACAAATTGTATTGCTGTTTTCATTAAAATTGTAATTAATGGTAAGAATTGTTTGTAATTAATTTTTCCTTTGTCGTCTGAACATCCCATTATATTCACAAAATTAAGCTATTAAAGTAACAATTCAAGGGAAAAAAAAAAAAAAAGCTCAGGCAGGTAGGTATATTAGCTACGGTTATTTTGATTATGGTGAGAAATGAGGGATTGTTTTTATTTTCCCTATATGGTCATTGTATCAGTTTCATTTATTTATATTCTGAATAAAATTAAAATTTTCGAAATACCATATTTATCTGAATATAAAACGAGTTTGTTTTTTCCTAAGTATCATAGTCGAAAAATTCGCTGTATTATTAGTTCGCAAATTAAGCCCAGTCAATTATGGTTTAAGTTTTTATATTGCCATTCCATGTCATGAAACTCGTAAATGTTGACGTAACAAAAAACTGCGAAGATATATACTCTTTGGCGAAGATAGTAAAAATATCTCGTGTTTCCTACAATATGTAATTATATATTCACAGTCGTATTCTCAGCATCTACCGCGAATTTGCCGGGCAATTCAGACCGATATTTTTGAATGGAACGGTAAAGCGAGAATTTCAAATGAAACGTGAAAATGAATGGCGAGATTTTGTAACCCGATTCGAGTTAGACAAGGCCGCGCGGAATTTCATTTCGAACCCCTGCGAATACGAATGCAATTAGGAAATCAGGTGAAAAAGAAGCGAATGTACTTGGGTGACGTCCGATTAAAGACTATCAACAAAGCAAATTCATTGCGCAAACGTTTCAGATGGGCTTAAAAAGTCAAAAAATGTCAGTGATAAAAAACATGATTATGATAATAAGGAATAAGAAAATGATAATTCAACAAATCTCAACATTCTCATGAACATGGCAATTTTCTAGTCCATAAGACAATTCGCAATTTTATTTTCAACTTCGGTATATTTGGGTAAATATGATATGTGACAATATGTAGGGCCTACATATGGATCAAAATTACTTTGTAAATTTTTATAGTGTTTTAATTATAAAATATATTGCTAATAACATTAATATAATTAATAATCATGATAATATATATTTAAACACCTTTTTTAATAATTTATTAATGGTATATTCTTCTTTGCAACTTCATTAGCTGATGTATGTTGTGCATTAATGTATTTTGACATTGAAAAATATGTTGTTCTTGACAACATAAATTTTGTTTTCTTGTAAAAAAATAAAGTTTTTCATTGCTAAAATTATTTATCCACTTAGAATATTTGAAGTCAACTTAGGATATTGAAATCAGTTTCATATTAATTATTAGAACATATGGTGTTATGATTAATCCCTATTATTAAAATCATCAATTTCATAATATTGGTACTCACTATTAGAACACAAATGTCCTAATAATCCTTGGTCTGGTATTTACTACTGTCCATATCAAGCTACCACTTTCATCATAGTAATAGTCAGTGAATAACACGTGAAGTGAATATAACGCTGAGTGATACTTATTGTAATATGCTATTTCAATTTTCATTTGGCTATCAAAGTTCGGCTGAAAACCTCACATGATATTTCTCCAAAAAAATTCTTATAAGATATTTTATGAGGCTTATTTTGTATGTAACTATTATTTAAATCAAAACTAACTATTAATTTACATATCCTTTGCAAAAATATTAAAACAATAAAAGGTGTTTAGGCAATAAAAATACAATAACTGGATACTTCATTTAAACATTTTTACTGTAATTTACATAATACTTATAACATAAACTACTGAATGGCACTTAAAGGAATTCTTTGCTATCATGGTCTTGGGTGGCAAATTTTTTCACTGTGAATGAAATCATATTTTATTATGTACCATAGATTATAATATGACTAATTATTTTAGAGCATTTTAGAAAGAAATTACAAAAAACAGGGAAGTTAAGAATTGGATATTTAGTTTTTGTAAGATACAGCACAAAATATTTATGTGACATTTCTATAACTGAACTCTTGAATAAAATATGTGCTAATGAAGAACCTGGCATGGGTTCTTGTAGCTCTTTGAATTTAGGTGTGTGTGCAGTGGGGCTCAGGGGGTCCACGTAAAAACGTTCAAAGATGTCTGTAACCGTACGGAATAGAACATTTTTTATTTACATTGGTAAACACGATTGCTTAGCTCTTTAGCAACCAACCATGTAAACAATCCTTTAAAAGCATGTCCATAGCAACTGCCATTAAAATGCTTTAGAGTCCATTAAAAATATTTTAGCATTTTACTAGTGGGCATAAATCATGGGATAAAAATGTTCCTTTTATGCCAGATGTTCTTTTTGCCCCATTTCATCCTCCATGTCCCATTTGTTCCTTTGGCTCATTTTATCTCCTTGTCCCATTTTGTCCTGACATCCATCTTGTCTCATTTTGTCCCTCTTTCCCTGTTTTGCTCCTTTACCAATTTTGTTCCCCATTGGTCCATCCCCCCCTCTCCGCGTCTTCTTCATCCTCCTTTCCCCACTTAAGGCGTATGGTCGTTCTGTGCACTGGGATTGTTATTTAAAAATGGTACCAAGACCCTGCACCAACCACCCTTGCTGCAGAATGTCGAGTGGCAATTCTTAACTGATGAAACTGTTAAATACTGATTTTAAATAACTAGAAATAACAAAATATATTGTGACCTATCCTGTATTAGTTTTTAAGGACTTGTTACGTAAGTATTATTTCCTATAAATAGGCCATCTGGCAACCCTGAAACCATTGATCATAAAATCAATTGAATTAATTTCATAATTCAAGTTATAATTTAATTGTCCTTGTAGTATATTCTATTTATTTACTTACTAGTAAAACATTTCATACCTAAATATAAACATTTCATGGAAAAGTGGGCTCAGAATGTGTTTACCTGAGTTTTATTACAGCAAATGAGCCGCATCAATTCCTTTTTATCTTATCCACTTTATAGAATATCTGTACATTTATAGAAACTTAATATTTATTAAAAATAACAAGTAAGATGCAATATTTTCTTAGAGTTATTTAAAAAAGTATGCATTGAAATTACTGATACATCATTATGTTACTTGTCTTGATATATACCACGGAACGGCAACCACTCAATTAATGCCTTGTTGTGCAAATGTACTAGTTTCATTACATTGTTTAAATAAAATAGTAATATTAAAATATATTATGAGGACTGACAATAAATTAAAGAAACATTATACAATTTCTACTAAACATTTATAAATTACTAAGTAATTAAAAACTCAGCACATTCTTATGAAGAAATGAAATCTCTCTCCAACCTTTGAATTGACACCCTCAACCACCTCTAGGTAATCACGGAGCTTCACAATCAGAACTATGTTAGGGAAATTCTACTGCTCTATAAATGTGGCATTGGGGACCCAATTTAAAGACTGACCCGTTCCCTAGGCATTCCAATAAACCCCTAACTAGCTCCAAAGGCAGTCTGGGAGCTTCACTTTGTACAGGACAAATTATTAAAATGAATATTTTTTCACTTCCCTCAGGCATTTCTTTGTGGATTCAGATGATCAGGCCAATCTTGGTTTCATTGTCAAAAAAAAACCAACAAAACTAAGTCTTATGTCATTATTCTGAAATGCCCTGATGCAGTAACTATTGTTATTATGATTATTATTGTAGCATTATTAATTACTATAATTATCATTATTATATAATTTGCATATTAGCTATGTTATCTTATATATGTAATTAGCTGCCACCGAGTTATAACCAACTTCAGTTTAAATAAATTAATTTATGAATAATGAATGGCATGCTTTTCTTCTTTCAGGTACAGTCGTTTATGCTTCCAAATCTTCGAAATTGTAATTTTTATTAGGAATATTATGAAAACATAGTGCTGTTAGGGTAACGTGCAGTAGTAGAAACCAGAATTTTTTATTTAAGAGCAGCATTTATTTCCACCCTTTTCAAAGAATAAGAGCTCATCAGTTTCTGGACTATAAATGTTTCATGTTAATGTCATTACACGTATGTTTTATAACAGTTCCAAGAGATTTTGATAATTATAGTGGAAGATGGGGTTTAATTGTAGAGGGTGTGGATATAGGAAAAATGTTTATCATTATTACTTAATTTCCAATACATAAAATTTGCTGTGAAGAAAGCTGGATCATGATTAATGAAGGAGAAAGGTGGTTTACACAAGAATTCAATCTGGCGAAAGATAATTAAGCTCTTCTAATGTTTCACTTATGCAATTTTCAGGCATGCATAAACAGCTCAAACTCATTTATTAACTCTGAAGTCCACAATGCAAAACCTTTAGTTTTTCTTCCGGTCACATATTAACACATCTATCACTCAAGTAGGAAACATAGTTCAACATTCATTCAATACAGTTCACAAATGAACCAAACACATTTCATTTGAAAAGTCATTTGTTGCTTCACAATCATTTTCACCTCTTGGCATATTTTGTCACATATTCTCTTACTTTACAGCGAAATGCATCTTTATCCTTTGTATAAAGCTCAGCAGCCTCAATATTTAGAGGATCATCGAAATTCAGTAAGTCCTGCAACAGAAACACAAAATCTCAAATGCTCAATTATTCACATAACATCCAAGTAAGGATATTAATGATAGCATTTCTCTTTACTTACAGTGAATAATGAATTAAGTCCCCATACAACGTCTTTTAATTTTCTAGTAGGTGCCCAGCCCATTCCATCAATGGAATTTTGTCTCAGGAGGCTAAGACATATATCACCATCTTCACTAATATTAGGGTGCCATAGTTTAGTGAGGCACTTGACAGTTGGAGGCTAAAACAACAATTCATTCAGGTCACTATTACAATTATGGATATTTTGTATATCTTCTGTGCCTTTGAAGTATAAAATACTTTTCTTTAGTATCAATTTTACATGTTTTGAAAACATCAATACTTACAGCCATATTATAATCTTCAGTTATTAATATGTGAAAACTGAAGCGCCCTCCACACCAATAACCTTCATCAGGTGTCACAACTAGTTGAAAATCATGTAGAAGATCTGCATTTTCAAATTTCACTCGACAAGTAATAGGTAAAGTTTGCTCCATTTCCTGAACCTACACATTTGTTTGTTGGCATCATTATCATTACCAAGACAAAATAATTATAATTATAAGTCCTTTATAATGTTAAATTTCATACCTCCTTAATCAGTAACTTGTCTCTGACAGACACTCTCTTGGGTACTTCTGTAGTTGCTCCAGGGGTAACATCTGATTCTTTCTTCAGTTTCCTCGTTAATGTAATCATACCTGTCAAAAATAATTTTATTGAATACAAGAAATTTCAGAATTATCTTCAGTAAAAAAAATAAATTTGATTGACTTCCAATTATTCGAATACATATTATTGCAGAACTGAAGCACGAGAAGTATACAGCAGGAAATTCTGTACCGCTCTAAGAAAGAGCGTCCTAGCAGAGGTAATATCCGAGAAAATACTAAATGTAAAATAGGTTATGATCTCAAATACAACACCTACTTAACAGTACTGCTATAAACTTCTATTCTTGACATTCACACTGTTTTATCAGGTACTTCTTTGTTAATTCATGGAGGCCGGGCACGATTGATTTTGCCCTACAAATGTCTTTCAAAATCTCAATGCTTTTTCATATATGCAGTATTTGCAACCATCAGAATTCATCAAGTGATCAAGACACGATCGACTGTAGCACTGTGCAGTGGTCGACTACTGGCAATTTAATAAATTTTATTTCTACCAAATGCTACTAGAGCGTGGTGTTCTCCTGTAAACGAGGTTTACAGGAAAGTCAAGAGATGGCAGAACGAGTACTATACTCCAGAAACACGTAATAAATAATATTGTTGTGATATCACAATTGCAACAAAATTCGATTTGCCTTTTGATGAAAATAGATAATTGTGCTTGGATTACGAAGGAAATTGAATAAAATACCTTCGCTTCCCAACGTAACAATTTACTCGAAAGTGCGTGGCTTTCGCCCAAGTCGCAGGCTTTCAGGAAGAGGGAGGGGGACGTTAAGTCGATAAGTAAAATATTCCGCTAATTCCATTAACAGAGTCTAGAGATATACAGCGCTTTGGGAATCTGCTATTCTGCGGCAGGACGCCGGCGGAGTGAAACTCGATCCTTGCGGCGCTCGGGGCGCTCAGCGCAACTTGCTTTTTTTGTACTATAGTAGACTATACGAGCGACTACGAGTAACGCAGCGCGCGGACGAGAAGCAGCAGTCCAGCACGGAGAGCTCCAACGGCCTCCTAAAGTTTCACGCATCCTGGAACGCGGTGGTCCGCGACGGCGTATCTCTGGGGCCCTCGTATAGCTGGCCGTGGAATGAACCGGCTACGCCAGCGCTTGTAACAGCCACCCCGCTGTGTCGGCCGTCTGTGCGTGCGGGTAGGGAAAACAAAACTTTTTTCTCCCCTTAGAAATTATGTGATGCATTACCAAACTCGATCCAAGGAGATTGATGAGTAACGGAAGTTCATTGTTCTCGCATCGTATTTTTCGCGGTAGATCTTAAAAAATAGCTGATGTAGCGTTTTCTGGTGTGTGTGGAAATTCTCGAAGAAAAGTAAAATAAGTTTCAGCCGGAATTTGTATAATCACTTCAGAAAGGGTAACAACTGAATCGCAGCCACTTTCAAGGACACTGTGATTGAATGCAATCTGTTTTTGGAAAATGTCATGCTATTTCAAAACCTTATGGATGATGATATAATATTTTAGCAAATGGGACATGTTCAAGGCCGAAAAGTTGTAAATTTTAAGAAATAATATGTTTACTAAAATATATATTTTACATGATCTGTCAAGCTCGGATCTCTTTAGTAGATCGGTGGTCAAAGGATGTTTTAAACGTCAGTGACCTAGATTTCGGGGGTGGGGGAGTAATTCCACTCGAAATTTTTGAAATATTTTATTTTAAAACTAGTGGGAACCCGTCAAAATTTGACGAAGACATCTGAGATAGATGTAATATACAGTGCCAACACTAATGTTCACAAAGTTAATTCTTAAATAGGAGAAAGAAAAAGCAAACTTCTCTTAATGCTTATTTTTGCAGATATTCACTTTTATGGGCAGGATGATTAGATATTATGCAGCACAAAATCATTTATGTTTGGTAAATTAACACGTACACATTTGAACACTTGTAGTTCATGATCAGATGGCAAGGCAATATCACCACCGAATGACCCAGAATGCAGAGTATAATTCTATTGACATATTATTTCAGAAGTTCTTTGATACGTCATCATCTCCTATAAAAAACTGATTCATTTCTTCTGACAAATTGCTAGAAGGTAAACTTATTTTTCCATTTAAGAAACAGTTTAACATAGTGTGTTGACGTAAATCTGTTGTTACTGTTATCAAACGGGATGTTGAACGTCAGCACAATGACGTCACTGTAGTGACGTTCAAATTACCGATTGGATGACGCAGTAACAGCTTATTTACGTCAAAGGACTGTATTTAAATCGATGAATGTCGATAATTAAAAAAGTCTTTGGAAGAAAACAATTGACTACTGAATAGCGTACAATTGAATAATTATTTCTTTAATTAATTTACAGTGTTAATGCTAGCGAATCAACACAAACAATATCTGATAACACACCTAGGGATCACATACTTTCATTCAAAGGAAAAACAATTAAAATCTGTTCGATAGAAGAACGAAACGAAAGCATGGTAGAATATCTTATTTTATATATATATATATA